TTCACCCTGCTCGGTTTCCTTTGTTCTTGTCGGGGAATATATTCAATATTCCCCTCTAATCAATTTCCGTTTAATGCAATTTATAATCCCCTCTAATATTCACCTGCAATGTCTTTGCAGCACAAAAAATGAGAAAAAAACAACATCGCAAAAGCAATATGGCATTGAGAATTATTTCTTTTCTGACTCATTAACGCGACCTCGCAGTGTGAAAAATAAGTACGTTATTTTGAGGCACCTCGGGGATATGTGTTTATTCACCTCGGCGCTGCGCGCCTCGGTGAATAAATCACATATCCCCTCGTTGCCTCAAAATAACCTATACTTATTGTTGATGACCTCGTTGCCGTTGCTGTTGTATTTGCCAAACTCGCTAATAACTACGTTTGAATACATTGGGTGACTGAAAACAAAGACGTACCAGGCCGTAATATTGGGGACATCCGATACGAAAGTACCCGAATTCTCGCACCCTGCATTAATTGCTTTTTGGTGTTGTGGATATATTAGGTTATATTATTTGAAAGTGACGATTCATAACTCTTTTGTTTTAATTAACTATGCAACAAGGTTAGGTAATGACAGTACTTAAGCAACTATAGGGTTCAACCATGTAAATCCTGATGATAGACACTCACCCCGAAAGCTTGATTTTATATTAACTTTTAATTTTTAGTGATTTTTAATTTTTTTTATACTAGTGAATGCATAAATCAGCACAGAAATGGAAATGCCTATAGTAACATATTCACCTGTGTATCTCGGACACCTCTGACACAAAGAAACCAAACAAGAAAATGAAAGCCATACATCAACAGATTCCGTAAACGTGTTCGCTAAGTAAGTCAAATGAAGAAAAGTGAAATCACGATTATTCTAAAATATAAAATACAAGCAAATTGGACAACTTCTATAAAATCCTGTTAAATTTTCTGACCTGTGCAACAGCTTCATCTTGGAGATGTGCTCTAGAGCCAACTGCTATGGCGGGATCATTTTCCTGAAATGTAAGAAAGCTCGAGATTGACACAGCTGGTGTTGTCCCGTGGAAATATCTTTTCAATGACATAAAGGCTACGTATTAATTGCACTGCACCGGATATCTTTCCGCAGCGGCGCGGAAAATTACCTATCCGATACGAATGTACAATTTTCAGAAGCTGAGCGAAACAACACGAAGTGATCTCTCCGTTGCAATAATTCCTCTGAAAATAGCGTTCCTAAAAGGTACGGATAGGTGTTTTTCACGTCGCTACGAAAAGCTATACGGTACAGTGTAAATTAACAATTGTCGAAAATTGTCCCGAGAAACATCAACTGTAGGTTAACATGAAAGCTAGAAGGGTGTAAATCAGCCTAAAAGTATGTTGTACCAGGGCGGTTATACACTGCAATTGGTCGGACCGACTCCAGTCAGTTTGCTAAATTTCTACTGCTATGACTGGGTGACGTTCGTAAAACATAAGTTAATTAAGAGTGCCATGTCTAGGATGGGCCAGTTTGGTTTCATCGGTACCTTGCTTAGCATGTCTATCTCAATGACAATTTCCCAGTTAGTATTTGCTAGTGAGATAAATCAGACGTCATTCGGTCGCGAAAAAATGCAACTATGTATAGGCCCTCTGGCAGGAATCGAACCTGCTGCCCTGCGATTCATGTGTAGTTCTCTAACTAACTGAGCTACACCAACTGAGCTACACCAACTGAGCTACACCAACTAAGCTACACCAACTGAGCTACACCAACTGAGCTACACCAACTGAGCTACACCAACTGAGCTACACCAACTGAGCTACACCAACTAAGCTACACCAACTAAGCTACACCAACTGAGCTACACCAACT